CTTAAATCTATTAATAATTATTCATCTTCTAAAGACTATATTGAAATCCTTTTAATTTAATTAGAATTTTTGCTTTTGTTAATAGATTAGAATTATTCTGAGATTAACTTATCACTAATTTCATTTAATTTCTAATTATAATTTTTTCTCATTTGAGCAATTTAATTGAATAAATCATATCTTTTTTGTGTATTTTCCTATTTATACTATAAAAATATGTTTGAAGATTATGAATTGTAATCAATCCATTATTTATTAACATTTTGAATTGTTTAATATTTAATTTATGGATTATCAGATATACAATCAACACAAACAAATCTATCTTCAATTTTCTTATTTTAAGAATCCATATCAATCATAATAATTTCCTTTTTATGATTTATACAAACTCTACTTAAACTAGGTGTTCTCTATTAATTAATAATGAAATATTACAGATTCATTATTTGTTTATAATAATGGTTATAATTCAATAACATTATTATCAATTAAATCTTCAATTGTTTATTTTGTACTTTTAAATGTATCTTAAGTCTAAAAATATTCAGCATTATTAAATAATAATTCAAATTATCTTGTTAATTAATCGATAAAAGAGTTGTCTTCTATTAATTTAGTTGATTTCTACATATTTGAAGAATAGAATTCTGATAATTATTTTATATCTTCAAAATAATTGAATTGATATTAAATTTCTTGTAATTCTTATTTTTCCTTTTAAATTGGAAAGATATATTATTATATTTACTTATACATCTTCTCTAAAGAATCATCTATCGTTCTTTTAAAATCCATTATTTAATCTAAAATATTCTTATAATAGTTTAGTCTTGTTTGATTCTCTTTAATCTTTATTTCTTATTATTAAGTCTTCATTTATGTTATTCTTTCTTTTGATTACTCAATTGTTGTCACTTTATTATTATTTAATTTATCAACTAAACATTTACCACAAAAAAACTTAATCTATGATTTATCTGACATGTCCAAGTCAACAGCAATAAATTCCAAATTGTGAATTTTACATGTTGTCTCTAAACCGTCTTAACTTTATTTCGATTGCAAAATATTCATATTATTTAATTATATTAATATCAATATATGAGATATTTTCTAATAAAGATCAATTAATAAAACATCTAAAATAACAACTTGATATAGATAAAAATACAACTTGTAACCCTATTTGCCACAATTAGAATATGTAATTAAAACACAGTTGACAAATTGATTGAAGTTTGCATTTGGAGGAAGTGCTGAAATTACATCTTCAGATATGATCACATTTTCAATGAAATAACTTGCAAAATGAGAGATTCAATTAGAAATCATCATGAAGCATTTTTTAAACAACAAAGACTTTAATAGATTATGATATTTCCCTTAAACAGATTCTAGAGGATTATAATATATATAAATGTTAATTACAATAAGAAACTAATGAATTAACCTTCATAAAATAAATTAAGTTTTTTTGAAAACTACATCATATCAAAGATAAAATTTCTAATCCGATAGAATGTTCACTTTTAACTTGTCTTCTTTTATAAAAGATAAATATGTAATTGAACAACTCGATTATAAATTGTTCAAATAATGGCGCTCTTTGAGATATTTGCTATAACATCTAGTGCTACTCTAAATATATATAGATTCCATCAATATGATAAGAATCATACAATTATAGGCTGAAGTTTCGGTAAAAGGTCAGCTCTTTTAATCTAACAACTCAAAATACGATGATTGGATATCTTAATATTTGTTTTTAACAAGCCAGTTAGATTAAATTTTAATGATTAGCATGTAAAGAGGGTAGTATTCTAAAAGTGGAATTTTGGTATGAATTTTTTTGAGTTTATCTGAGAAAGATAAAACAGGTATATAGTAGGCTGCGGTCAATACTAAGAAGATTTAAGATAACAAAAATTCTGCAATACTGAAGAATATTAATAAATTCCTAAATTTATAATTTGTAGGCTTTAAAGTAAATAATATATATGAAACTCTAAATATTGAGAAAATTGACCTTATATAAATTTTAATTATTCATTTCTATTGAAATATATTATTATAATCTAGATATTTTGAAGCTGGATCTAGATTTCTCATTCTATAGTGCTAAAATCTTAAACTTGTGGATAAAAGGGCAGAAATACAATAGAGAGATCAAACAAATCATTTTATTCCAAAATCTACATAAATCTCACATTCTTTTATTTATGGTTTATTTTATCCAAACAAATAAGGATCAAAATTTCCATTCTTTTATTAATTAAATTCATATGAATGACCTAAATAAGATATACCATCAGTAAAGTTACTACATATTTTAATATCGTGCCCACTTTTACTCAACTCGGAATAACTTGACCCAAATGTAGGTCCATAACCTGAACGACAATAAATAGCTTCTGATTAATAACCTGACTTCAAAGGATAAACTTAATCATGAGTTTATGAAAATATAAAAGATGATAATGTATTATCTTGTACATGGCCCTTATCTGATTCCCATTTACAAGGAGAGTATGCTCCGAAGATATAATCACTTTTTGATTAAAATACCATAAGTAAGTTAGCTTTTCCATTCACTTTATTCCAATTTCAAAGAGAATTTATATTTGTTTTGAATATGAAAACAATTCTTGGGGAATAAACCATAAATTATTTGTTGACAAATTGATTGAAGTTTGCATTTGGAGGAAGTGCTGAAATTACATCTTCAGATATGATCACATTTTCAATGAAATAACTTGTAAAATGAGAGATTCAATTAGAAATCATCATGAAGCATTTTTTAAATAACAAAGACTTTAATAGATTATGATATTCCTTAAACAGATTATAGAAGATTATAATATGTTAATTACAATAAGAAACTAATGAATTAACCTTCATAAAATAAATTAAGATTTTTTTGAAAACTACATCATATCAAAGATAAAATTTCTAATCCGATAGAATGTTCACTTTTAACTTGTCTTCTTTTATAAAAGATAAAGATGTAATTGAACAACTTGATTATAAATTGTTCAAATAATGCCGCTCTTTGAGATATTTGCTACAACATCTAGTGCTACTCTAAATATATATAGATTCCATCAATATGATAAGAATCATACTATTATAGGCTGAAGTTTCGGTAAAAGGTCTTAAGTTTAAAAAGGCAATTTAAATGCATACTTCCATTACGACCTATTTACCTTTTAGTCTAGCGAATCAAATTGGTGTTAGACTTTTTAAGATTACTGGTGATGGAGCATATATAACCAAAATATTTGAAATTCCTTTTCCTATAATCTTTATTAATAGATTGGCATATTTTAAAAGTTAGATTACTCACTAGAGCGAATTTTCTTATGAAGATTCCTCCATAATTAATAATGCCTTATTGATGCTCACATAGAGCTTCAAGGTCTGGACAAATATATCTGAGTTCCTTTCTGACTACTAATTTCACCTCCTTAATAATCCATATCCTAGTAAGGATTAAATATAATTTTAGGCGTCATCATGCGATTAATTTCTGATTGTATTTGCAAATTGTAACAAGGCGAGGCCCACTGTAATTCTAAAATTAATATAAACAACATAGTATGCTAATGAGTCGAAAAATCTTAGCAAACTCTCAGCTAAAGTATGTATCCCAAAAGCCCCAACATAGAAATTTAGTATTATATTTTAAACACATCTTAATTAAAATTTTATATAAGAATTTCCATAGATACTTAATTATAGATCTTACCTTCATTAAAGAATGAGCTTGATCCAAGTTTCTAAACTATTAAAAGAATAAAGTCATACTCCTACAAAGAGAAAATGTTAGATATGATCTTCAATATTTGAAAATGATTGAATTTCATTAAAAGAAGGTTAACAAATTAATTCATATTGAATGAAGAAAAGCAATCTCATTTGTTGCGGTTTTCTAGAAGAGAAATTTTTTTATCCTGAAAATTCAATTATATAATTACACAAATAATAACTTAAAAACAAATTTACTTATTTATTAATTAAAAAAATATCTTCATATTGCTTAATTGTGACTGAATGAAAATTTAAAGAAGTTTATGAATTTTTGGATATGAACAATAATATTAAACTATTTTTCAAATTTCACTAAAAAAATGATTAGAAAAAAATTCAATTAATTATTTGTGTTTCATTAAAAAATTCAAATTGGGATAATAATTTTGTCAATTTTACATTTTTCTATCAAACATAAAGCTTATTTAAGGGTTAATTCAATTTTAACAATCAGTTAATCAACTCTGTAAAATATTTGGAGAATGTAGATTTATTTTATTAAGGGAAAATGAGATATCAAAAATAATTAGTCTTTAATTAAACTCTACCTGCCTTCTTAAATTTAATATTTATTAAATGGAATCATATAATATAAAATTAGAATATAATTATTGACTTAACTCAAATCTGTTATAACGATTAAAAAATTAATTACATTAAGCAAAATAATTTCAATAGGAAGAGTATTTTAATATATGCAGTGAAACAAGAAAGAATAATAATTTTTGTGAATAAAAGCATTTATATTCATTAGTTTTAATTCTAATTCCATTCTCATGTTTGATAAACGTATAGATCTATACACAAAAAGCAATCCATATTGTTTTTTTATTAATATAATTAATTAGGAGACTTTAATAGTCTACTTTAAGCTTTTACACATCAATCTGCCAATTCCTAATTAAGCTCTATACTTGATTTTTTGTTTCGACCATAACTTTAGTCGATATTCCAATTCCTATTTCATCAATATATAGGTAATTGTTTTCTCTGACCCTCTTTCAAATTTAAATAGTTGTTTTAAATCAATTATTTTCAGCATTTAGTCTTAAACAGGCCTTATTTTATTGATTGAGCATAACTTGAATACCCTTCTTAGTGAATTCTAAAGGTTCTTAAGTCTTAGTAATTAATATCAAAAATTATGATAGGTAAGTACAATATTCAATATTGCATCCATTACAAATCTTGTAATCAATAAAAGTTTTTCATGTTGATCTCATTGCTTATGCATCTAAATTCAAAAAAAATTGAAAATTAAATATTAACCAGTCTCATTCTCAATTCAAAATTTACTTAAATTATAATATATCAAAAACCTATTTAAGAACCAAATGCAGAAATGGGCACAGTGAATCCTTTTTGCACAGGAATTATTCTAATGGATGCTAAACAGTTCAATTCAGCTAAGATCACAATTTATATATATAAATTTATTAAAAATAATGAATTCAAAAATTAATTGAGAAGATTGGATTACTTTTGTTAAAAGCATCAACAAAACAATAGCTTTGGGTTAGCTAAGAAATGTTAAATAAAGAAGCTTATAGGATTTAATGCTAAAATCTTAAAAAATGAGGACGGCGAATGTGTTAAAGCAGAGGAGATATCCAAAGTTAAACAGTAATTTGTTAAAGGAGGATAAATTGATATCCTGTAATGGTAGAGCCAAAGTTAGATAATGTGGGAGAGAATTAAATCATTTTGTGATTGGATTTTAAAGGACCAGCATAGAATCCATACAACTTTAATGAAATTTATAGAAACTTACCTAATTATGGTTAATTTAAAAGTTAAAAGCACAGTTTAAATAAATGAAAAATCAATGGGAATATTAAATTTGAGATTTTCTTAACACATTAATAGAAAGAGTTGAAGAAATTTTAATAAAATTGCAATAAAGGGGCTGTAATTTCAATAATATTAGAGAGGAAGCTTGGAAATTTTCAAATAAAAGATAAAACTCTATCAAGGGATGTAATTATGTTGGTGTAAGGGTTTAGGGGGTATGCATTGAAGGAGTCAAGAATTACTTTGGGTCATTGAAATGAGATGGCTTAATTCTGTCCCTTATTCTATTTGGACTCAATTTTTTTATATCATGATGATTTCTGAGTAAATACTGAAATTGAATCAAGTGTAAGACGAATATGTTATTTAGATAAAATCAATAAATATATTGGATGAACAAGACCTTAAATTGAAGGTTTCTGAGATATTTTCTATTTTACTCCTAAAAATTTTTGAGGAAATATTCATTTTTATGTTATGAATAATTATGCTTTGTATCAATGTTTATGATGATAGTGGAATATACATAACTTATTTAATCCTTTAAAATGCTGTGTAATAAAGTAAAAGTAGTAGGCTAAATTCTAATGCGCTGATTAAAAACCTAGCACCATGAGACAAGTTGGGTAATAGTCTAGCTTAATAACCCTTATACATGCAATAGCTTCTTTAACATATCAATATTACTTAAACAATGATCAAAATTTGAATAAACGCTCAAAGAACCCTTGCAACTTATTGAGGGGTTGATGAGAATAATTTAGAAAAGATTCTCTGCCAGAGAAAGATTCTTCTTTTGAGGCAAATACTTAATGTGGAATACTAACTATAATAATAATACGTATAAAACCCAAGAATGTTTAAAATCATGGGTAATAATTTCAAACTAAATTGTCAATATTACTCAATTTAAAAAATAGCTACAGCAGTTATATCTAAAGGCAATTTTAGAATAAATACAGACAATAAGAGAAATTGTATCCATGAAAATTTGAGCTCTCTTCTTAGAATTAAGAAAGACTTTTAGAACAATTACTAAACTAAAAAGAATTTATACGTCGCTCATGCTGTATTAACGTCAAATTAAGTTATAATAAGAGTATTATCACAAACCATGGATCACTGAGTTTTCTCTCCAAAACATTATTATTGAAAAATACAGAAAGACTAGAACAAATGAAGATAAGTAATTTTTGTCTTTAAAAACAAATAAAGCTCCAGCTTAACTTAATTGAAATCATTTGATTGTCTTAATATTATGTTTGGTAATTATTTTTATAACATAATATTACTCTCCTAAGAATAAGGTTCATCTAAATTATAATCCAATCAGGTTACAAATCTCTTTTTTGTACAATATGAGTTTCGAAACCTCAATATTTAATTGAATTTGTTTACTTTACTGCTTGCATTTTGATCATATCTCCTTCAACACCTGACTAATAATATATTATCAATTATATATAATAATAGTTCCACTATTGCAATAGTATTGATATGACAAATACTTAAATTGTTATAAATTTCAAATCAACCTGATATTATTAAATTTTCATAAGGCTACTCCTTATGATGAGCTCAAGGATTATTTACAATTTCATGCATCAGCTCTTTTAATCTAACAACTCAAAATACGATGATTGGATATCATTAATATTTGTTTTTAACAAGCCAGTTAGATTAAATTTTAATGATTAGCATGTAAAGAGGGTAGTATTTTAAAAGTGGAATTTTGGAATGAATTTTTTTGAGTTTATCTGAGAAAGATAATAAAACAGGTAGATAGTAGGCTGTGGGCAATACTAAAAAGATTTAAGATAACAAAAATTCTTCAATACTGAAGAATATTAATAAATTCCTAAATTTATAATTTATAGGCTTTAAAGTAAATAATGTATATGAAACTCTAAATATTGAAAAAAATTGACCTTATTTACATTTTAATTATTCATTTCTATTGAAATATATTATTATAATCTAGATATTTTGAAGCTGGATCTAGATTTCTCTTTCTATAGTGCTAAACTTGTGGATAAAAGGGCAGAAATACAATAGAGAGATCAAACAAATCATTTTATTCCAAAATCTACATAAATCTCACATTCTTTTATTTATGGTTGATTTTATCCAAACAAATAGGGATCACCATTTCCATTCTTGTATTAATTAAATTCATATGAATGACCTAAATTAGAATAACCATCAGTAAAGTTACTACTTATTTGAATATCGTGCCCACTTTTAATAAACTAGCAATAACTTGACCCAAATGTAGGTCCGTAACTTGAATGACAATAAATAGCTTCTGATTAATAACTTGACTTCAAAGGATAAACTTAATCATGAGTTTATGAAAATATAAAAGATGATAATGTATTATCTTTTACATGGCCCTTATCTGATTCCCATTTACAAGGAGAGTATGCTCCAAAGATATAATCACTTTTTGATTAAAATGCCATAAGTAAGTTAGCTTTTCCATTCACTTTATTCCAATTTCAAAGAGAATTTAGATTTGTTTTGAATATGAAAACAATTCTTGGGGAATAAACCATAAATTTTGGAAAATTTTTTAATATGATAAAACTTAGACTAAATTATTAGACCCATAATAAATTAATTAATCACCCAAAATTCTTTGTTTACAAGAATTGTTTACAGAATGTCTCAATATTTGCAAACTTATTTGAAGCATTTTAAAAGCAATGCCAATTTGAAGCGATAGCGTCAAAGTTGATGAGCTCACTTATCTAAAAATACTGAGAAATCAAGAAATCTTCTATTATAAATTGATAATTAGTTGATTCACTCAAAGATATAATTTCACGGACTCGTTATTATTTTGCAATTTGACTATTTGTATTATTATTACAGATAATTTATTAAGATCATCATTACTACTTTATGTGATTAGAGTGGTTAATTTAGACCTAGACTATAATTTACCTTGAAACTATTTCAATCGAAATACCAATTTATTATATGATGGCATTATTTAGATTAGATTTGAATAAATAAATTTTATACCTTTTTTGCAATTTTTCTCAGTTATTGGTTAGCAAGATTGAAGTTATTAAAGAATAAAAATTAAATTAAAATTAAGTGGCATGTTTCTTTAGAGATGTTAAGCATATTTAAAAGTACAGGCTTTGAAAAAAGTTCTATGAGGAAGTGCCAACTTTGGAT